AGAAAATAGTAAAAAATAAAGAAAAATCCTTGAATGAGTAGCTGTGTCCAAACTTTTGACTGGTACTGTATATGTATATATTTTTTGTGCCTGTTTTGCATGTTATTTTGGCATTAATACGTGTCACATATCAGTTTGCAAACAATGTAAAAAAAAATAAAATAAAGAATCTTTGAATTAATAAAGCCACATACAAACATGGTCTCTTTTTTGCTTTCTTGAGTAAGGCAGCTCCAAAATGTAGGTGTTTCAGCCTAGCTCAGTGCTTTATGTGGTGGTGGGGCAGCCAGCGGAAAATACAGAGCATAGGGGTTGGTAATGTTCTCTAGTTGCGCCGTGATTGGTTCAGTGTTCTGTCACTCATGGGGACACTACGTCACTGCAAAATCTACAGGGACAGTGTGGGAGTACCATTACAGTGAGCTAGAAAGTTCAAGCCTCTTGGGTGCTGCCATAGATTTACATTAGAAGTGCCCATCCAAGAAGGCTCAAGGTCATTGGCCACAGATAAAATGACGTCAAATCACGTTATATCTGCCGTAGCTTTGATTGGACTGATAATGTTTACATCATACTTTCAAAATCTTAGCTAGCAAGCTAGACAAGCAGTCATCATCATGAATCAAGACGACAATCTACTGGCAAATCCTTTTCAATACTTGTCATATGAAGAGAAATTATAGATAAAATGTATCGGTGCTCATCGGCCATTGGACATAAACATTACACAACAAGTTGGAAATAGCAAATTCAACAATGAGGGGTTTGGAAGAAATCAGTGGCTAACTGAAAGCATTGCAAAGCAATCACTGGCCTGCTATTCGGTGGCGAGGGTGTGTGGTCCAAGTCTGGGTGTAAGGGTCTCTTTTCCAAGCTTAAAAAGATAAACATTTACATGCAACACCATGGGCCAGAAAAGGTTGAATACATTGGCCATGCTGTCAATCCAGCATGACTTCTGCCACATTCAAAACCACTGGAAACTCGGAACTGGGAAATCTCAGACTTCAATGAGTTCAACTGGCAACTCTGCAAAAAACGAGTTCCGACTGGGAAAATACGTTTAGAACGGTCATCCAACTCGGAATTCCAAGTCGGGAACTCGGGCCTCTTTCTAGGGCTCCGACCTGAAGATCACTGATGTCATAATTCGACCTTGTTTTTTTCGGAGTTCCCAGTTGTCTTGAAAGCACCATAGATCCAGAGAATGCCAGACTTTGATGACGAAGTTTTATGACAAAATTTGCCAACAAGAAGGACCGCCGTGCCACCTTCCTGTTCAAGTGAGCACAGCACAACAAGGTGAGTCCAAAAATGTCTTGTATGCTGCTGCATAAATGATGTAAATGCCAGGGAGATGCACTGTAGCTAAGAAAGTAATACTAAGTGTATGTTGTGTAGTAAGCTGTTAGTAGCCCATGTGCCTCACCCTAATAATTTGGTCCCTTTCCCCTCATAACTTAGCTTACTGTTCTGACTTGGTGGTGCACATGTAGCCTATAGCCTGTTTTAGAGAAACGTCATCATTGAATATTGTAAGAGCTTTCATTGTCTGCTTATATGCCCCCTTTATTTATCCTACGGTTCTGACTTGGTGTACAGGGAGAATACTGTAAGAACGGCCCATGTTCTGAATTCTGTCACTGTACATTTTAAAAGTGCTGAACAAATAGTTATATTGACTACGTCCGTCTTAGCTCGCTCATTAATGTCTTAATCGAAATTACGGATTGCCTCTTATCCGCTCATCGTTCCCTTATGCCATAGTTTGTACATCTCAATTGTCAGTAGAAACTACATTTGATTAAGAAAGTCAGACATATCAGCTATGTTTTTTAAAAAGGCAGTAAATGAGGCTGAATTAACTATTTCGCTGCCAGGCAAGGCTCCGCTGATAGCCAGGTGTAGCGGTGGTAAGAATTCACTCCATGGTGCTGAAAAGAAAGCTCTGCTGTTGGGACAGCTTTATGTAGGCCCTAACAGTTTATGTGCACGGTTTGTCACCGTTATAGTGCAATTAATGTATTGTTTAGTGTTGTGTAGTGGCTTTGCTGGCATGCATTTTAAAAAAAGTTTGCCCCACCAAGATTTACATGCTAAAATCGCCACTGACAGTGACAAACAATTTTTTTTTTTTTGCTGGCTGCCCTTCCACCACAGAAAGCACTGAGCTAGGCTGAAACACCTGCATTTTAGAGCTGCCTTACTCAAGAAAGCAAAAAAGAGACCATGTTTGTATGCGGCTATATTAACTCAATTATTATTACTTTTTACATTGTTTGTAAACTGATATGTGACACGTATTAATGTAGGGATGGGAGCTGTGCATCTTGGTTTAGTGGGCAGGGCGAGTCAGCGAATCTCATTAGCAATGGAGCCGTTTAGCTGAGGCTTAATGAGCGTGCTCCAGAAGGTCAGTTGGGGTGGAGCGGTAACTCATTAAGGTCAGGGCCACAGGGAGGTGTGGGAGTGGCCATATAGAAATACAACCTGTAGAATTAAAATATGTCTGTAATTTTACACATACAATTGGGCCTACAATTCCAAAGTACATTGTCTAGAAAGGACACTACACCTGTGCAAGCACTTCTATTCCACAAACCATGGGCTTTTTAGAATCTATATTTCACAGACGTGTGGAATTGCAGTGCAACTGAAGTTACCTCTCCAAACTGTCTAATGTCCAGTGAGTTCTATGTACTCTATATCTATGAGTATCAATTAAGCACAGTAGGTCAATGCATCTTTTCTGGGCCTGCTCAGACGGACAGTGGGAGGGAGGAAGGGTGGGGATGTACATTCGGCTCTCACAGGCTCATGGTAATCTTATAATGAATTTCCTTTCTTATACAGGTGCATCCTATTTCTGCACTATAGCTGTGTGTGCACTTACTATGTAGCCTAATGTGCATGCACTGCTGCCTTGAAGAAATACAGTTTTACTGTATTGTATATTGTATTGGAATCATGTATTGCACTGCATTTTATTCTATTATATTGTAAACTTCCTTGTGGGACAAACAGAATCTAACACATGGTGAAACAGGGTAGGTAGCTAGATGATTCATAATTATCTCTTGTTACAATAAGTATTCAAAGATACTTATGTTATTCTTGGTAAAATCAGCCTCTATAAACCAATCACTCAACTGCCCTCTCTCTCCCCTCCTGTGTGAACTTGACTATGTATAATCTCAGCCGGAAGCACGTAGCTACATTCTGAACTCTAACCCTACTACCTCTACGACTTAGTCTCAGACACATAGAACATCCCCTAGACTAGAGTAGATGGTCCAGGGTTGTGTAACATTATGTAAGTCCTATCTCTTCCCCCTTCCCCCAGATGTTGACCACCATCTTCCTTAATCCATTATGATTCTGGGGTAAAACTGTATGGTTGGAGGTGAGGGTAGGCTATACTGTGCTGAATTTCTTGAGTCATTTCACTGGCAAGTTTGCAAGTCTGGCAAAGTAGCCATACAGAAATGGTGGATTGAAATTGCAGCCATTCTTTCTGCATGGACTATATTCCAGATACTATTGTCAAACGATTAATCTAAAAACCACTGTGTAACTGTGATATCCAAATGAAGTTAATGGAACTATTTTCCATTGTGTTCATGGATAGGGACTCCCTTTGCAGGTGTAACATGTCAGAGTGTTGTCTTCCGTCACCTCTTCCCTCACACACCTCTGTCTTTTCCAACAGGCTAGCCCTGGGGAAGAGTGTATGGTTTCATAGCGTGACTGTGCAAAGGTTTCTCTTCCAGGTCGCTGTTTATAGACCCAAAAGGCCATGCCCTCTGTGTCAGTAAAAGAGTGGTTTTACAATGTGGAGCATGCACAGGGCCAGGTCCAGGTCACATGTCATTCGCCAGGCTGGTCTTTCCTTCCTGGTTTCTGCCAGGAAGTTGTAATTGTAAATGTAACACTGTAAAAGAGCAACTTAGGTTCATCAGTCATGGGAAAAACACAGGCCTACTAGGAACAGTATGAGCTGTGTGTGTGCGTGCGTGCGTGCGTGTACATACAGTACATACATACATACACATGTGTGTGTGGGACTATGTGTGTATGCATGTACGTGTGTGTGCATGTATGTGTAGGTTTGTGTGTGTATAGGTATGTGTTACTGTACATACAGGGTAATCTGCAGTAAGATGGTTTATGGGCTAGTCGACAGTGACGCAGATATGCCAGTGAAGCTCTATCTGATGGATTCTGAGTGACAAGTACTGTAGCCCAACCTGACACTATGGCCTATAGCCTACATACTGTACCTGTACACAGCAGTTACATATACACACACAAATACATTTTGGATTGGGAACTGTGAAAACTGACTTTTTAAAGATTTTACATGCAATGCTTACACTTCTTAAAAGGCAGAGCGAGAGAGAGCGCGAGAGAGATTTTGCCAACCCTAAAGGGTGACATAAGGAAGGATCTAACATAGCCCAGTTTATATCAAGAGATGAATATGACTGATAGTTAACATTAATATTTTTGTAAACAACATGATCTACATATCTGACACAATACTACACAAAACTAAAGGTACTCTCTGGTACTCATACTCTGAAGGGTATGATGACCACATTGGAGTTTGTCAAACAACACATGCATGTGGCTTTTAGTAGTGAATCTTCGGGGTGTAAAATAACTGTGAAAAGCACATCAAAATCCCTGTGCAAAAGGTGTTGCATCTATAAAAACAGCCTTTGTCAGTTTCCAAGTCTTCTTGTAGAATGTGCCTAGTGACAGATCTATAATCAGCGTTCATTCTGCCAATATAACATTAATCTATGGGGGGGTGAAACGCAAAACTGACCTCTGATCGGCATATGGGACAACTTTATTCCCTTTGCACGTTGCAAGCGATGTACCCTGAAGCGCCGATTACAACGATTGGTGGAACAAGCTGCCACTCAAACTAACCATTCCCGCTGTTCCTTCGCTGGGGAAAGCATTTTCGACGTCAGAACCTCTCAGTGGCGCAACGCACTGCCACCAAGCGAAACACGAGCAACATGTAACGGGCAAGTAGAAACCATACACCATTTTATGTAATGGTATGTGAAGGTGTATAGGAATACGTATTTCGTAGGTTAAATCTGATGCGTAAAAGAGCAGCAGATATATTCGAAGAGAGGCGAAACCTGCTGCGTGTAAAAGTGGGAGGAAAAGAAACTTTTGGGGAATGGGAATACAACTTACTAAGAAAGTGCAAGACGCTATTCTGTATCAATGCTAATTGACAGGCGCAACTTTAGGCGATGGCGACCCAGACGGAAGAGAAAACGCACAGTGAGCTAACGAATACGGGACAGTGAGCGAGGCCCACGGCTGGACAAGCCCTTCAGACCCGCCCAACAATCGAATAATATCCCAGTTGAACTTGGGGAAAGGGGAGAGATTGGACAGCTAGCTTTACGCAGCGCAACGAGCTGAACATATACCCCGACTTCACTACAAGCAACTGAGAAGTGGAACTACACGTCTGCTGTGCGTAAATTGGAGATGATACGGCTTGTTATGATTAACAACGTTATCTAAAGGACGGCGATAAAGGTAAATACAGCCAGCTGATGTGGCCAAAGCACTATTGTAAGCTACTCCTGCGGCAACACGGCCGCTTTAATTCAAAGCGAAGCAAGAGACGGAGGGAGTGAACACTTTTGGCGTTTATATTTTCTTATCTACCTTTTATCAATATGGGCGAGAAAGTCGACTCGAAACGATCGACTCCGGTGGAAGGCTGTTTGGACGGGGAGAGCAGCAACCTCAGCGTGCTCAACTGGGAACAAGTGCAGCGCCTGGACGCTATCCTGGCTGAGTCCATCCCAATCCACGGTCGCTGGAACTTCCCAACCCTTGAGATTAAACCGCGGGACATAGTCAAAGTGGTCCGGTGTCGCATGGAGGAGAAACGCATACATGTCCGGGAGGTCCGCCTGAACGGTTCCGCGGCCAGCCATGTTCTCCATGAGGACAGCGGGTTGGGATGGAAGGATCTGGACTTGATATTCTGTGCCGACATGAAAGGCGAGCTAGAGTTCCAGACAGTGAAGGATATAGTTCTTGATGCTTTGCTAGACTTCTTACCCGAGGGAGTGAACAAGGAGAAGATCACACCAGTGACCTTAAAGGTAATATCACTTTTATTATCAGTTGACATGATCATTTCAGATCCATACTGCTGGTTAATGCAGTTTATTACGCAACAGTTTAGGTGCGCAATGTTTGTATGAGCATTGCATGCTGCGTATCATGGCTGCGTTACAATGCAACCAGTGAAAGTTATGCTCCAGTATAAGAATGCAATACATTAGTTTTACATTACAATGCAACCAATGAAAGTTATGCTCCAGTATGAAAATGCAATACATTCGTTTTACATCTTCATTTCCACTCAATGTGCTTACTGCAATAAGTTATGCACCCTACAGTAGCCTATAAATTACAGTTATGCCAATCCACATAGTATCAACATTCATTTATTTGCTGTAGGCCTATGATGCATTCAGAATTCTGCCCTGCATTCTAAGCTGCATGGTGATAAGGCTGCAGATAGTAGAAACTGTGGTTTCCACTACAAAGAGGATTCAAACTAATCCAATTGGTACGGGATCCGCTCATTTACCTAGATACCTACTTACACATGACCCAACACTAGAGCTGTCCAGCTGACCAAATAAGGGAGAAGATTACCCTCTGTTCAATGCAAAACATATATGGTGTTTCTCAATATGCATACTACCGTGCTCCACACTCATGCTCTGAGTGCATTCTCCGAGGATATTCCCTGTGTGGAGAGTGTGGAGAACGCATAAAACATTACATTTGAGCAGCACTCGCACTCCCCCTATTGTATTACCTCATGCTGCACATCCCCATTCACTGAACCTTCTTCCAGCCAGGACAATAGCAACAGAAGAAACAAGATTTACACAAAGCAAACTTTTTATTCCATAACTATCACTTAGCTATATGTGAATTGTAATTATCTAGCTAACCAGATAGTTTAACAGGCAAAAATGACCTAAAACTAATGTTATACAAGGTAGATGTCAATTCTTGGTGGGTAGCTAGCTGTACATTCTTCATGGCCATCTAACTAGCGAATAGTAGTAGCTAGCCAGTTAGCCCTATTAACTTACCATGGGCTTGCGATCTACGCACACTACAGTGGGTATTGTAGGCAGATAAACATGCCAAAATTAACACAGTGGGTGTTTCTCAAAATGCATACTACCGTGCTCTGAGCACGCAAATTGGAGCATGGGAGGGTCGGAGTATGAGTCCAAATCAAAGTATGTGAAACAGAGCATGGAGGGCAGTTCTCGAATGCATACTCTGTTTGTACATACTTTGAAGCATGCATCGATGCAAGCTTCAACGGAAAGTATGCAAAGAAATATGACGCAACCACGTAACAAAATTATGCAACATTTCTTGAAATCAATGGCGGCCATTATTTGAGCTGAAGTGAGAGAAAAAATTAACTCAGACTTCGGAAAGAAAGGTTTCCTATTCACATCTCATATGTTGCCTGACTACAATATTGTATCTTGATATGTTAATAAATACATGCTGTGTTAATTTTGGCATGTTTACCTGCCTACATACTGTAGATCGCAAGCCCATAATAAGTCAATAAGGCTAACTGGCTAGCTAGTAGTACTGTTAGCTAGCCAGATAGTCATGAAGATTTGTTAGCTAGCTACCCATGAAGAATTGACATTTATCTTGCATAACATTAGTTTTAGATCATTTTTGCCTGTTAAACTATCTGGTTAGCTACATTATTACGATTCACATATAGCTAGCTGATATTTATGAAGTAAAATGGTTGCTTTGTGTATATCTTGTTTAGTCTCTATTGCCATTGTTGTCTTGGCTGGAAGACGGTTCAGTGAATGGGTAAGTCCATAGTAAATCAATAGGGCTAACTAGCTAGCCACGAAGAATTGGTAGCTACCCACGAAAAATGTACATCTACAGTACCTTGCATAACATTCATTTTAGGTAATTTTTGCCTGTTTATCTAGCTGGCTAGCTAGATTATTATGATTCACATATCTAGCTGATAATTATGAAGTAAAACATTAGATTTTTGTATATCTTGTTTCGTCTATTGTTGCCATTGTCCTGGCTGGAAGAAGGTTCTGTGAATGGGGAGCTGAAGCGTGAGGTAATACAGTAAGGGGAGTGTGAGTGCTTGTCAAATGTATTGTTTTATACATTCTCCACACTCTCGTCCTCAAGAGAATGTGGTCAGAGAATGAAGTACGCATCTGAGAAGTGCCCTCCATGCTCTGTTTCACATACGTTGATTTGGACTCATACTACGAATCTCCCGTGCTCCAATTTGCACACTCGAAGCGCGGTAGTATGCATTTTGAGAAACACCCATGGATTCATTCAATTCAGATAACCTCATCTGACACAGGCAAGAATCACACATGCAAATATTCCATTACCAATAAGTTCTCATAATACAGATGTCAGACATATACAGATGTTTTCATATCAGACAAAGACGAGAACTTATAGTTGTGAGGTAGGCAGGCTACCAGTAACGGATGTGATAAGGATTACATACAGTACCAGTCAAAAGCTTGGACATGCCTACTCATTCAAGGGTTTTTCTTTATTTTTACTATTTTCTACATTGTAGAATAATAGTGAAGACATCTAAACTATGAAATAACACATATGGAATTATGTAGTAACCAAAAAATGTGTTAAACAAATCCAAACATATTTTATATTTGAGATTCTTCAAAGTAGCCACCCTTTTCCTTGATGACAGCTTTGCACACTCTTGGCATTCTCTCAACCAGCTTCATGAGGTAGTCACATGGAATGCATTTCAATTAACAGGTGTGCCTTGTTATAAGTTAATTTGTGGAATTTCTTTCCTTCTTTATGCGTTTGAGACAATCAGTTGTGTTGTGACAAGGTAGGGATGGTATACACAAGATAGCCCTATTTGGTAAAAGACCAAGTCCATATTATGGCAAGAACAGCTCAAATAAGCAAAGAGAAATGACAGTCCATCATTACTTTAAGACATGAAGTTCAGTCAATCCGGAAAATGTCAAGAACTTTGAAGGTTTTTTCAAGTGCAGTCGCAAAAACCATCAAGCGCTTTGATGAAACTGGCTCTCATGAGGGCCGCTACAGGAATGGAAGACCCAGAGTTACCTCTGCTGCAGAGGATAAGTTCATTAGAGTTAACTGCACCTCAGATTGCAGCCTAAATAAGTACTTCACAGAGTTCAAGTAAGAGACACATCTCAACATCAACTCTTCAGTGGAGACTGCGTGAATCAGGTCTTCATGGTCGAATTGCTGCAAAGAAACCACTACTAAAGGACACCAATAATAAGAAGAGACTTGCTTGGGCCAAGAAACACGAGCAATGGACATTAGACCGATGGAAATCTGTCCTTTGGTCTGATGAGTCCAAATTTGAGATTTTTGGTTCCAACCGCCATGTCTTTGTGAGACACAGAGTAGGTGAACGGATGATCTCTGCATGTGTGGTTCCCACCGGGAAGCATGGAGGAGGAGGTGTGATGGTGTGGGGGTGCTTTGCTGGTGACACTGTCAGTGATTTACTTAGAATTCAAGGCACACTTAACCAGCATGGCTACCACAGCATTCTGCAGCGATACGCCATCCCATCTGGTTTGGCCTTAGTCCCACTATCATTTATTTTTAAACAGGACAATGACCCAGAACACACCTTCAGGCTGTGTAAGGGCTATTTGACCAAGAAGGAGAGTCATGTTGCTGCATCAGATGACCCGGCCTCCACAATCACCAGACCTCAACCCGATGAGTTGGACCGCAGAGTGAAGTAAAAGCAGCCAACAAGTGCTCAGCATATGTGGGAACTCGTTCAAGACTGTTGAAAAAGCATTCCTCATGAAGCTGGTTGAGATAATGCCAAGAGTTTGCAAAGCTGTCGTCAAGGCATAGGGTGGCTACTTTGAAGAATCTCAAATATAAAATATATTTTGATTTGTTTAACACTTTTTTGGTTACTACATGATTCCATATGCGTTTTTTCATAGTTTTGATGTCTTCACTATTATTCTACAATGTAGAAACTAGTACAAATACAGAAAAACCCTTGAATGAGTAAGTGTGTCCAAACTTTTGACTGGTACTGTACATGGGTGCGAACTAAATATAACTAAATGCGTGAGAACTAAATTCAACAAGCAGTTGAAAATTGAATATTGAACATAAAGTGAAAATGACACCAGATAATTATCAATCACATTCAAATCAACCCCTGACATACTTTCTTTCTTAAAGTACATTATTATTCCTTACTCCGTCACCTGGCACATTGCCAGACCTAAATACAGAGGATGATAAATGTACTGAGAATAAATGCAGAAATGGACCATGAGACATAATAAACACATTAATCTATCAACATGTTTGGTAATATGATGAATGTGATAATATGATGATAGATATTAGAGCTGGGAATTGCCAGCGACCCCATAATACGATATTATCACGATACTTAGGTGCCGATACGATATATATTGCGATTCGATGTTCCAAACATATTGCTCACCATATGTCTGCTGCAGAGGGACAAGAGAGAGCCATGAGAAAACGAGTTTTGATCAGTCATGGAAATTGAAAAAGTACTGAAAACAAATTGGCTCCCTATTTAAAAAGAAGATGGAGAACAAGCTATGAAGGACAAATACTGGCTGATACCACGGCTTTCAGCCAATCAGCATTCAGGGCTCAAACCAACCAGTTAATAAAATAAAAAATAAAATTAATGTATTTGTGTCTAATCATTCATTTATTATTACCATTTACCATAGACCGAAAACACATAGATATGTATTCTTATGTCTGTGGTGTTGTGTTTTCAGGAGGCCTATGTGCAGAAGATGGTGAAGGTTTGTAATGACTCAGACCGCTGGAGCCTCATCTCCCTCTCCAACAACAGAGGCAAGAATGTGGAGTTAAAGTTTGTGGACTCTCTGCGTCGCCAGTTTGAGTTCAGTGTGGACTCCTTCCAGATTCGCCTGGACTCCCTCCTCCTCTTCTACGAGTGCTCCGAGCACCCCATGGCAGCCACTTTCCACCCCACCATCCTGGGAGAGAGCGTCTATGGTGATTTCTCCGCCGCTCTCGACCATCTACGCAAACGCCTCATCTGCACGCGGAGCCCCGAGGAGATTCGCGGTGGTGGTCTACTGAAATACTGCCATCTGCTGGTCCGGGGTTTCTGCGCGGCTTCTGGAACCGAAATGAAACTTCTGCAACGCTACATGTGCTCCAGGTTCTTCATAGACTTCCCAGAGGTAGGCGAGCAGAGGAGGAAACTGGAATCCTACCTCCAGAACCACTTTGTGGGTCTCGAGGACAGGAAATACGACTATCTGGCCACTCTGCATGGAGTAGTGCGGGAGAGCACGGTGTGCCTGATGGGCCACGAGAAGAGACAGACACTGGGCCTCATCTCCTCCCTGGCCCTTCGGGTTCTTGCCGAGCAGAACGTCATCCCCAACACAGCCAATGTCACCTGCTACTACCAGCCCGCCCCATATGTCGCAGACGGCAACTTCAGCAACTACTACGTGGCCCAAGTGCAGCACGTTTACCCTCAGCAGTACCCCCCTCAGCAGTACCCCCCTCAGCAGTACCCCCCTCAGCAGTACCCCCCTCAGCAATACCCCCCTCAGCAATACCCTCCGTCACAGTATCCCCTTCCACACCATCCACCTCCGCACCACCCCATGTACACTGCATGGATGCCCTGCAACTGAGTGTGTGACAGTGGACACACACACATACACATAGTCACTCATGGAACGATAGGATTCTCATCCTAACAAATGGATAGATCACATGATGATGGTTGTTCCTCTCTGTATTCTGATAGAGAGATAAAGAGGTGTAGTTTTGCTTTGGTTTTGAGCAGGATGGAGAGGAGAGAAGAAGAGGCCACTTGGATGTGGTCTGACCCTGGAGAGAAGGCTTTCATCCAGGGCAGAAAGCCAGCAGTGGAGGAGAGGAGTGCAAAAGGAGGGGAGCCAGAACAAGGCTGACCTAAGATGAGGCTGAGGTTGAAGCCAGGAGGCCAGTTTGTCCATGGCTATTAGCCAGTCCTAGAAGCCAGGCTAAACACCTTGCTGGACAAACAAGCACCGCCACAGAGTGACAAATATAGGAACATTCGGCTTAGGGCTGAATACTACCAGTGTTGATGATGCAGTGAAATAATGTACATAACCACCTTGATAGTGGTTATGTTTTTGCAAGCAATGGCTTGTATTTGAGACTCACGCTTGAATATACACTCACATACAGTATACTGCCTAACACTCATACATGCATCAAACACAGACACACTCTTAAACATCTCACACACTAGACAGTGCATACATATACATTTACATAGGCGCACACTGAGTGTACGGTGAAGGAAAGTGATCACAGAGAATACTGGAAGTTGTGTACACGTCCTGATTGGTTGGCTAAGAAGACCTAGTGTTGACATTTCTCTGACCAGGGAAAACAAGAAGTGAGACAGTCTGACCGCAGGCAATGCAAAAGAAGAACTGGACATTGTTTACAAACCAAAGATCTATCTTTTAGCTACCCACTATTTGGCTGAACAAGGGGGGGAAAATGCAATATGTATTTGAATATTTTGCTTTAAGTGCCTACATGTCTAAAAGGAAGAAAGAGGTTGTTATATTTTGTGAATAAACCCAGGCCTGTTCATTTTAGACAAAGGACCATGGGCCTTTTAAGGGTGATGATGGTGTGTTACCTGTGTAAATGAATGTATTTTGGACCAGAAAGGGAAACAATGTGGAATTGTTATTGAAGTAGAGGGACACGGTTTTGACCTCTGACTTAGTGTGTCTCATATCGCCCAACTCAAAGTATAATTGGATGATGAGAGAGAGATGGGTTAGAGTGCAAAAGAGAAAGGAGGGAGAAAGTAAGAGATGGGAAGGGGATCAACTCGCGAGAGAGGAGGAGAGTATGTCCTGTAAACTCCTGCACACTTGTAGTGTCTCTGTCGTCAGAGCATACTGTTAGTGTTTTTACCAGTAGAGAGAGGGGCCTGAAAGTGTATTTCTGAGAGATATTTTAGTGATATTCTAGAGTGTGTGTGTATGGGAAATATGTGTGTTCACAAGGTGGAAATTGTCCTTCTTTGCCATTTTCTTCTTTGTGACATTTCTGAAGTTTCCATGTGTGATGTGAGAAAGGGGGAGAGTAAGCATTTTCACCTGTGCAAAGCTTGCACCTGTTATTTTTAAGTAATAAAACATAAAATAATTAACAAAAAGTAAAGATTAAGAGAAGGATATCTAAGTTAACATATCAATAAAGTTTTTTTTATTTTTTATTATCTTGTATTCCCCTTATAAAGATGTTAGGTGCAAACTTTGAGCATGTGAAAATATTGAGTAAATCTAACCCTATCAATGCAGACACCTCACATCATTCTATTAAACCTGTTCTCAGATATCTTATTTTTGTATCAATCTCTATTTTTGTACATGTTGTTTGGCTCATGCCATAGTTTTCTTGATTGCCTCATTCCAAGAGGCTGTACAGAGAGAGTTTGCATGCGTGGGAGAGAGTGTTATTTCAATAGAGTCTATGGTTTTCCCCAAATCCTGGTTGGAGGATCCCTGGAATCAGGAAGGAATAAGAAGAAAATCCGGATCCTCCAACCAGGATTTGTGGAAAAACAGGGAATTTATTGACAGTTCCTGTAATTTTGCAACCCTAATGAGACTCATACACACAAGGTTAATGTTCAAATGCAGACACACTTGTGTCTATGGTGTTGCTCATGCAACCTTTTTTATTTTCTTAATTTTTTGTTTAAAAACGTTATTCTCTAACTAACATGCAAAGCACACCGAACACGTTGCGTGCGTGAGCATTGCAAAATAAATGTACACATTCACCCACACAGCGCGTGAACGATTGTCTGCGTAGCCAAGCGCTAAAATAGGACTTGGTTCTATTTGAGACGCTCCACACGCTTTAAGTACCCTCCTTATTCAATATCAGGAAGATACAAACACACGTGGATGCTTGAAAGACAAACGGGAAGATATTAATTATAGATAACTAACTAGGTATCCCTTTTAATCTGTGGATTAATCGTCAGAGTAGAGAAGCATATTTGTAGCAATTCTACAAAGAACCAGCTAAAAAGAGGACTATACTGAATGCATTTCAGGTAAATAATAACCCAATGTTCATCTCCCAGGACAAACTAACTAGCAACCGCTAGCTAGCTAAATGTCCATGAATGTCTCATGTATAATATAATCCATTCACAGTTGATTTTGGTATTTTAACCTACGTGTCATTATCGTGTCTGGTGGGGATAGACAAAAATCAACATGCGGACGCACACGCGTGGCTGATGTAGTCAGCATGTAAGAAAGAGAATGTCTGAGTCTTATTGTTGTGTAAATGTCTGTTTTGATTGCCATCCAATATGGGATTGGTCAAAGAGTTGGAAATAATGTTTAAAGCAACACAAGTGTCTAAGATGAAATACTTTATCATTAAAAAGGAAGGAAAATCAGTTATGCACTCCTGTAGTCAATTATGAATAAACTTAGTATACTAAACATTAGGAACACCTTCCTAATATTGAGTTATTTTCTGCTCATTCATTCTCATTTCGACACCAAACCCACCACTGGTGTGCGTGGCCAGGGCTCTATTTTCATGTCATCCAACAAATGTAAACGCCTGGAATTTGCTAAACGGCATTGGCACTGGGATTGGAACCAGTGCTTTGGTCAGATGACATGAAAATAGAGCTCTTTGGCCACGCACACCAGTGGTGGGTTTGGCGTCGAAATGAGAATGCAGAAAATAACTTCATACCTAATATAGAAAATGGTGGTGGATCTTTGACATTATGGGGCTATTTTGATTCCACTGACCATGGGGCCCTTGTTAAGGTCAATGACATCATTCACTTTGCCCAGTACCAGGACATTTTAGCCAAAAAACGAGTTGCCTGAAACTTGGCCACAAGTGGATCTTCCAGCAAGACAATAAACCCAAGCGCACATCAAAATCCACAAAGAAATTGTTAATTGGCCGCTAAATAAAATTTTAGCAATGGCCATCTCAGTCTCTGGACTTGAAACCCATTGAAAACCTGTGGTTTGAATTGAAGAGCCATAAGCGCAGACAAAGGATATCAAGGACCTGGAAGGATTCTGTGTGGAATAATGGTCTAAGATCCCTCCCAATGTGTTCTCCAACTCATAAAACATTTGAGAAAAAGGCTCAGTGCCCTTATCCTCCCAAGGTGAGGTTTTGAAAGGTATTGAAAACAGGGGTGTCAATAATTTTGACCCCTACCTTTTTGAGAAAACACGTTTTTTAGCATACAATTACAATTGAAGGGTCTGGAAAAGTCAGAGTTTGGTGCTCCTGCTGCCATTGAATGTAATACAAGCTTAGACATAGAGGCGGGGTCATAGTGATTTGCATTAGCAATACACATATAGCAATAGACCACAATGATTTGTCATTCTCAACATGTAAAAATATGCCTCTGTGTTTTTGTTTGTAAGCTCAAATGGACAGTGAGCACCTCTAGATCACATTATAGCTCGGTATTTTTAATTATTTCATACAGTCATTTTTGCTCATCTTTATCAAGGTTGTCAATAATTTCGGACCCAATGGGATGCACTTCCGTCACACGGTCACGTCATGCCATTGTTATGAACGTTCTAAAAAGAAGCCTGTCATAGTGGTGCCCAAAAGTCGACTAATGCCCAGTCATTCTGAAAGGGGGCTAATGACTGTTTAATCTATGGGGAGCAATGTCACTATTCATGGGTTGCACGTTTCGTCATAATATATTTTTTTACGTTCTCTTGAGGACTGATGCCCGACTGAAGGTTCTACTCAATGCATTCACAATGGCCGCTGATGAAGAACAATTTTGCCATCATTATGATGTCGTCAAATGTACTTTAGAGAGATGGCAATGTTGCCATTAGCGAGCAAAGTTAGTCAAAAATAGCTAGCAATGCTAACATTAGCTAGCTGAAATTCGGTACTGTCCCCTCAATCTTAGCTAGCTAGCTAAAGTTAAACTGCAACCAAAGTCAATCTGGTGACATCCTAATAATTATTTTCCTCCATTTGAAGTGTCATCGTGTTTCCAAGCCACTATGTTGCACACGAAATCTTCATCAACGCCCATTGAAAATGCATTGAGTAGAACCTTCAGTCGGGCATCAGTTCTCAAAAGAACGTTCAAAACAATATTATGACGAAAAACGTGCAACCCATGAATAGTGACATTGCTCCCCGTGGCTCAGCTTTGGGCACTGTTCCAATAGGGACACTACCCATAATGCTTGTATCACATCAAGCAGACCGTGTAGGCTTTCCCTTTCACAGACGTCACCCACCATCACCAACCATCACTGGGTGTGTTTGTCAAACTTAGGCCAGGTGTGTGTCTACCAGTAACCGAAAGGTTTCTGGTTCGAATCTCGAGCTGGCTAGGTGAAAAATCTGTCTGTGCAAGGCACTTAACCCTAATTGCTCCTGTAAGTCGCTCTGGATAAGTCTGTTAAATGACGTAAATGTAATGAACTTGAGTGTGGCACTCCCGACAGAGCCCTGTCCTCCCAGTGAGCTGAGAGGAGCTGAGGAGCAAAGTAAAGAAGAGGAATGAGTGGATTTGCTCCAGGCCTGCGTCATACTAATGTAACCAGGACAGGCCTCCAGATGTCACTCTCCCTGG